ACCGGGCCCCACCGCGGGACCCCCCCCCCCCCCCCCCCCCCCCCCCCAAAAGGTGGGGGGGGGGGCTGCTCTGCCCCCACCCCCACCCCGCTGCGCCCCACGGTCCCAGAGGGACCAGGGAGAGTGGGGGAGGGGTGTGACCATCCCCCAGCTGCCGCCCCGGCAGTGTGGGGACATGGCACCCCCTTGCCACGTGGCCTTTGAATGGGGGGGCAACACATCTGGGCTGCTCGGACACATCTGGGAAGATCTTGGGCACATCTGGGGGTGCCCAGGCACATCTGGGGGTCCCCAGCACAGCTAGGGCTGCTCTGGCACAGCTGGGGGTTCCCAGGTACATCTGGGGCAGGTCCCAAGCACATCTGGTGGGTGCTCTGGCACGTCTGGGGGGGGTCCAGGAACATCTGGGAGGGGTCCCAGGCATAGCTGGGGGTGCTCTGGCATACTTTGGGGGGTGCTTGAGCACATCTAGGGGCTCCTGCACACATCTGTGGGTGCTCTGACACAGAGGGGTTCCCTGGAACATCTGGGGATGTTTTAAGGCATCTGGGGAGATCTCCAGCTCATACGGGTGGATCTCAGGCACATCTGGGGGCTCCTGAGCACATCTGGGGGTGCCCTGGCACATCTGGGGGGCTCTGGCATACCTGGGGGGGTCCCAGACCCATCTGGGGGGGGAATCTCTGGCACATCTGTGCATGTCCTAGTACATCTTAGGGGGATTCCAGGCACATCTGGGGGTGCTATGGCATAACTGGGGGGGGCAGGCACATCTGGGGAGTGCTCTGGCACGTCTGGAGGGGTCCCAGGCACATCTGGATGGATCTCTGGCACATCTGAGACCTCCTGGGCACATCTGGTGGCACCCTGGCACATCTTGGGGAGTCCCTAACATATCTGGGGTGGGGTCTCCTGCACATCTGGGGACTCCCATAAACACCTGGGGGTGCCCAGAACCATCTGGAGGGGTCTCCAACACACCTGGGGGTGCTGTGGCACATCTGTGGGCTCCCAGACACACCTGGGAGTGCTTTAAAACATCTGGGGGGATCTCCAGCTCACATGGGTGGATCTGAGGCACATTTGGGAATGCCTGGGCACATCTGGGGGTGGTCCCGGGCACATCTGGAGGGGTGCTGTGGCATATCGGGGGGGGGGCGACCTGCCTTGAGTGTTTGGGGGGCTCTCTATTGCATCTGGGGGCTCTCTGGCACATCTGGATGGCATCCAGGCACGCCTGGCTGGGGCATGCCTGGCTGGCTCCCCGGCACATCTTGGGGTCCTCCTGGCACACCGCAGCGGGGGGCACTCTGCCACATCTGGATGGCTCCCTCAAACATCTGGGGGGGCTCCCTGGCACATCTGGGGCTCCCTGAGGCACCACCACCTCCCGTCCTGCTCCCCATGGTTCCCAGGGGTGATGGACCCATCTCCGGTCCTGCTCCCGTGGTGACCAGGGGTGACGGCCCCACCTCTGCTCCCGCTCCCGTGGTGCCTGGGGGTGATGTCGTCCCCG